CTTTCTACACAGAAACGAAGCTCTGGGCTTAGCTGCCCCTGGATAAAAGAACTTAAGGAACCTAGTGATGTAGTGGTGATTCATTGAGCTGCTAGCTGCAAGGTCAGCAGTTCGAAACCACCAGCTACTCCATGAGAGAAAGGTGATGCTTTCTACTCCTGTGAAGAGTTCCAGTATCAGAAAGCCACAGGGCCAGTTCTACCTGGTCGCTATGAGTCAGAAAGGACTCGATGGCAGTGAGAGAGGAGGGGCCCATTCAAAGATGGCTCACAGGGCGTCTAAGAAGGACCACTGCTTCAGCTCAATGCAGAAAGGACAGCCCCTCGTAAGCTGCAACTAGGACTGCAGCAAATAAATACAAATTCGTCAGGCCCTCTCCTTTCATCCCCTACCTCCTACCACTTCCTCTCCCCACACCTGACAATCCCCCCTCGGCCCCCTGCTCCCACACACACCATCTTCCTTGGCACATACCTCAGTGCCCTCATACCAGCTGGCTTGGGATTAAAATGGACCAGGCTAGGAAGTGCCAGAGAGGGTGAAGCCTATTTGTGTATCAAATTCCCTTGGCCTTTTATAGGGATGCACCAAGGACCCAGAGGGTGGGGTGCGGTGGCCTGAGTATAAGAGGCCTTTCTTACACTAAACCTGGCTCTGTCACTATTCAGCTGAAGCTAACAGACAGGCTCTCTGGTCCTTCTCTCTCTGTCTCTCTCTCTGTCTGTCTCTCTCTCTCTCTATCAATCTTTAACTATCTATCTATCTATCTATCTATCTATAAAGTAGCTTGGCTCCATTGATCTCCAAGGTCTTCCAACTCTAAAAGTCAAAACAACTCTTAAAAGGGGGGGGGGGTGAAGGGGGTGGTGGTGGGTGTTTTTCTCTAATTTACTGTCAAAAAAACTAGGGAAAAGTTAGAAGACAGCTAATCAAATCTAAACCTGTAACAGTGGTATCTCTAGGCTGGTTGTTCTATCTTTTATTGGTTGTTGTTGTTTTGCAATGCAAAAACTTTTTTGAAAAGTTTTGGTAAAATACAAAAAGGGACTGATACACAGTGTCTACTAGCAATATTTCGGGGCCAGACATTCAGCGAGCGCTCTAGCTCTCTCCTCAGAGAGCACCCTTGGGAAATACTTGATGTGGATGAACCTGGTATGTCATCCTGGATGGGGGGGAGGAGAGAGCACGGGCCAAGTCTCACTTCAAATCCGCAAACATCACTGGGAAACATTGCTCGCTAGGTGCCAGAACACAGAGATAATTGGTAACCCCAAGGAGTTCAGAGTCCATTAGGGGAGAACAAGAGAGACATCTGGTTAATAGACAATTTTTTGAAAAGGGATTCTTCCCGGTTCAGAACGATGGGTGGTAGGGGCAGCAGAGAGAGAAGAGGCAAGGCAAAGGAAAATTCTGTGACTCAGTATTATATTCTGAACGGCCCTGGTCAACGAAAGCGCTGTGCCAAGTCTGGCGAAGGTCTGTGTCTGCTGGGCCTTAAGCACTTTCCGCTGCAACTTGGCTGAACTTAAAAACTGAACAGGTGACCTGAAGGCGAAGGCTGATAATGGAAAAGACAGGCTCTTCCTTCCTTCTGAGACCAGCAATCGGCTAGGCAACCCTCTTTAAAAAAAAAAAAAATCACTTGCCTTTTTATTTACATCAGTGGCCCTCGCCTTATGTCTGAACCGCCCCAAATGGCCAGGAATTGAGAGATTTCAGCTCTCATGAGGAACGTGACAAGGCTCCCAGGAGAGCGGGCCACTGCAGGGAGACAATGGCGCTCTCCAAGTTCCCATACTGCCTGGGTGATGTTTTGGTGACCCTGGGCTAGTCTCTCCTCTCCCCTTGGATCCCACTGTAAAAATTATCTGATATTAACGTCCCTAGGTGACTGAGGGGAAGACGTTTATAAGGCACCAAAGAAACACTAGGGCCCTTAGAGTAAGGTGACCAGATTTTAACATTGGTAAAGCGGGACACCATTGATAAAACTCATATCCTGGCGAAATAGCCACATGGCAGCCGAAAACCGTATACCCTAGCTTGTCGTGCATTCTTTCCAAAAATCGGGACTTTTTAAAAATGCCGCGGGACGCAGGACAAATTGTTAAAAATCGGGACTGTCCCGCCAAAAGCGGGATGTCTGGTCACCGTACCTTAGAGGCATGTCATTGTCAGCTGCCACCACATAGGAAACCATGACAAAAGTGTCACTCATTGACTGAGTCAGAAACTTTCACCTTGAAAACTCCACCTCAATGATACACAACTGCTCTTTCCTAGCAGCCCAGGTAGCCCAGAAGTAAACAAAGCACTTCCCTCTGCGGCTGCCCCTGGGCAGGCTCCTCTGGGCTCCATCAGAGGACCAGCTGCTGAGGAATTTACTGCCTGCTGATCAGCTGCCTGTAAGGAAGGAGAGGGACAGGAGACGCAGGCTCCAGGAGTGGACCAGGGGAGCGAAATCACAGATAGAAAGCTCCCTGAGTCACGTGTTGTCAGTAGCTCAGGTTCGTCTGTGAAAGCTTCTTACACGCCTCTCCTCTCTCCATGGAGAAGTGTCTTGTTAACTGGACCCCAGAGGCAATCCCAGGACTGGCTTGTGGGTTACCAGCAAATGTGTTTTAATTCTGCAGTCTCTGTGCCACAACCCAAGGATAAATGAAAGGATTGTACACATCACTGGAACATTTGCAGATGGCCCAGAATAATCCTAGCTCTGGATCCCCTGCTCGAATGACTGGAAAATGTGTGAATTCAACAAACTCCCTGTCGAGATAAACTTCACGGTGTGCACTTCAAGAAAGCTCTGCGCAAAGCTGCGTATGTTGTATCCAGAAAGAACAGCCCAAACCCAAAAGTGACACACATCTCCGTGACGAGTGGAGAACCTACCTGCGGTCTAGTTTAGCTACTTAGGAGTTACATGGAACTAAAAGGAAGGACCGACATAGATGGGGTAGCTTGAGTAATGAGGAAAAGGGCAAAGAAAAATAATAAAAAAGACACACTTATGCCAAGCACGGACATAATTGGATAGCACATGTAAGAACACGTTTGGTTTTGATTGGGGATTGGTTTTATTTGTGTATGGAAGGAAAAGGACTTTGAGTCTCACGATCCCCAGCCCAGTTCAATTGAAAAGGGCCACACAAGCACTCTGCCTCCCGAGTACAGCCATAAGCCCGAGTGGGGATATGCAGGCTCTTCATTACGAGGCACCAGGAAAAGTCAGGGATGGCTGTTTGCAGTTTCCACCCTGAAATCACTACCCTACTGCTGGTCCAGGTTTCCCTGAGGTCCGTTGTAGTGTCATATTGCTAAATACAACTTACTGAGTTAATACCCTGTTATTTAGTTACCTCCATTTGTGTTATGAAGTGTCAAGTAAATTAGATTATCCATACCGCGGGATTTGGCCAAGTGTGATGCAGAATCTGATTTCGATCGTAGAAGAAAGTGGTTTTGATGCTTCAAAGTAACCTAAGACCTTTACTACAGCACCCCTCCAAGCCCACAGACACACTGCCACCCCCAGGCACACACGAACACAGAAGTCCACAAGTTCCACAGGGTATTTTTTGTGAGACAAAACCAAAGAAATTCATCCAATCTTTTCAGTTCACATCACCAAACCCCTAAAACACACGAAGCCTTTTCCCAAGAAACACTCAAATCTAAGTATTAATTAGGATCTTACAAGCGAGTGTGATAAAATACTGTCCATCAAAACAGAGCCGAATCGAAAAGTAGCGCAAGGACAAAAAAGATCTAACTCCCCAGAGACAAGAAAGCAGGCTATTTGTCCATTGTTTCTGTAGTGTCCACTCGATGAGCACATAATAAATACACCAAGGCCCCAAACAAACAAACTTCAGCAGCTTCAGCTTCTCACTCAAGCAGAAGGCTCTCCCACCTGGGGGTTGACTGAACAGTGAAACAAATACACTGCGCAGGGAATGGATGCACAGATGGGAAAAAATTAACCGGGGGTGATTCATACATCATTTGCCCCCCACTCCCCCACCTACTGTGGCAAACTTTACAGTAACTTTTTACAAGCAACAAACCACAGCCTCACCAACCTCTATGGATACCAACACGTGCACACACAACACTACCTGGAAGCCAAGGGCTGCGTCTGCAAACATCCACCAGTGTACATTCATAGCATTGGAAACTATGGCCAGAGAACGGGCGAGTTCTACTCCTAGACATCCTCCTGCCTGCACTGTCAAAGAGAGAAGGTCATTTTGCCTGGGCATCTAAATAGTTCTTTCTCTCCGTGCATCTTGGGAGTTTTCTGCTTTGGCATTGCTTGGCTTTCCTATATATCGGAGGGACAGAATCATTGGGCAACCTTATGCACCTTAGAGGAAAAAAGGGGAAAGGAAAGGAATTCATTAAGTGTTGCCCAGGCTAAGCTGACACCAGGGCTGTCTCTCCAACCAGCGCTGGTAATTACAATCAGTGGAGGGGGTGGGAGTGGAGGCTGTCCGATCAGACCCAGGGAGTGCTGAAAAACAGAAATGATCTCATTCCCAAGGGGGACTGGAGAACTTTTCCTTCTAAGGAGACCACCCCTCAGGAACAAAAGTTACATTGCAGTCACATGTTGGGCGTAGGAAAGGGGAGCAGGTTTGGGGGTTGCACTTTTTTTTTTTTTGTAGCACACTAATTCTGGGGGTGTTTTACAGTTCTAAAGACCCCGGGTTCCTCCTGACCAATTGTGACCGGCACTTCATTTGTCAAAAAGAAAGGAGGTGGGATGGAGACCGAAAAGACGACAGGGGGGGGCGGGGAGGGGCGCAAGGTTACACTAAAGGGTACAGCCGCCGCCGCGAGCTGCATCCCCTTCCCTCGCGCCCCAAAGAATGGACTGCGATCCCCGCGCGGCTGCAACTGCCCACTCGCCGGAGGCGGGCACGGCCGCCCCGGGCGGCGCGGCGCGGCGCGGCGCAGGGCTCTCGCCCGAGGGAGGGAGGGGAGAAGGTTGTTACCTTAATGGTACACTGAGCAGGAGTCTCAGACATGTCTCCCAGCGAGAGGGATCAGGAAGTTCTCAGTTTTTTTCCACTTTCCTTTCCTCTCCCCAACCCAGAAAGGCTCCACGGCCAGGCGGACGCGGTCATTTAAGAAGTTTCCTCCAGCATCTCTCCCGGCGGCCGCCCCCCGCGGGG